TAATGTACTGTTTTATAAGGTATTTTACAATTTTTATCTGCTCAACAAATTACTCTCTTATTTTTAAAAAATATGCATAGTGTATTGTATACATATCCAAGTGTACGCACGTAATCAAGCCAGCAGATCTATAGCTGATATAGGACGATATATTTGTATATTTTGTTTAATCGCCTGTTTCTACGGTCTTGATTGGAGTAATTAATGTAAATTAATGTTCCCAGTTTAAACGGAAAAGCTTGAAAAACGAAGTCATATTATTATCAGTATAATAGGAGATTTCCGGCAGTGATCATATTGTATGATGGTAGGCCAAGTGAAAAAAGTCTCAATAATAGTAGGTAACTGATAATCCTAATAATAAATAACAATAAAACGTATAAATCAAATGCGTAATAAATTATTAACTTCTGAATACTTCTTTTAGTGAGTTCGATTTAGATTCTTCGCCATAAACATAATAATACGAATGCGTAGTCAAAATTTGTTTTAAAAACAGATTGAACGCATGCACATAACATTTGGCTTATTAATTTTCATTCGTTGCATAATCCGCCTCAAACGTATATACTTAAAAAAATACAAAGGTTCCTTTTATGCGACCTGATATCCACCAGCCGCTGCGGCTTACTTTTTTTTAAGGCCAAAGATAATTAGCAATATTTATTAAAACGGTACAGTCGGATTTTTGGGAATAGACTACAGAGAATAAACACTGTGTATTAACAACATGACATTGTGATAAACAATACAACCAGGTCCTAAGGTTATAACATATCTACTGTTAATTTTGCCTAAAGGTTTTTTTTATTCACAAAGTATTATATTATTATTCAACGTGCTCGGACGTCATCGATGGTCGGTTAAACCCACATATTTGAATTGGGTGGGGTATAACCAGACCAGACATTGCTCGGTTGACCGCAGTGAGCACTCTTGGGATTTTTTTTTCGACTGCTGCTGTATCAAATTGATTACCGGCAGGCGGGTCTATTCCTACGGCATCGTGTTCGTCAGTAATTATTAGCTTCTACTTATTACTATTATCGTTGTCGACCGTTTCCGACACAAATACACAAGTTGGGAGGGACACGGTGTAGTGTATTAGTAATTAATAGTAATTTCAATGGGCCACGGTAAACATAATCGAAGAGTCAGCGGTTTATCTGACAATATTAATGTGAGCGCGCAAATTAACTGAAAACAAATCGACAGAACCTCTTCTCTACCGAAAATTATTTTAGCCGACAAATATATAGATGATTTGGTCATCTAAAAACATATAAAACAGCCGTCCTCGGTTAGGCGATCGCCCTCTCGCCCTCCGGACATCAATACTATCATAATGAATGATTGCTACCGATTAAATACTGTAATATGACATAATATGTCTATGAATGTATATATTAATTTATATTTAATAAAATCGTCAAGTTGTCTGTGTAAAAATTGAGTAGGCTGAAATCAAAAATCACACGCTCTAAAAAATGGGAAAATGTGTTGTCAACAATGTCTTATAGGATTTTTGACGCCAAATCCAAATCTTTGTTTCAAAACATACCGGAACCGGTTAGATTCAGCCTTGAAGGTAGTGGTTAGTATAAAAACTAACAAGATTAGTATTTATCCTGTGAGTTTTCAGTATTTTTCGTCGTATCTAATTTTTAATATTTTGAGTTATAACTTATGTATTTCATACCTTAAGAATCAAAACTCACATGTTCCAAACTTCAACCACCAAAAAAAAAAAAAAAACACGGATGACTACTAAATTTTTTTTTGACAGATTTGATTTTCTTAGCCAAAATTACTTAAGAATAATATATTTTCTATTTCTACATTGCTCATGTAAACCATGTCTACTCTTTTGCTTTTTCTGAAAAATGTGAATTTTGGATCATGCGAGTTTTGATTTCAGCTTACTAAATAATAGAATAGAAATGCCTTCGCAGAGAACGTCATTCAGTATCAAACCAAAAGCCAGGGTGGAGAAGAGAACTTTATTTTACCCGTGTATTGCCACATAATTGTGTTTACAAATTTGGATAGTTAGTGTCGACTAATAAATTATGATGTTAAACTTAATAAAACTGTAAAAATAAAAAATGGTCGTAGCAAGTGTAATTGCATTTAGGTTATCATGAGTAGGTGTTAATTTTTCTTGAACGGCAGACTAGATTCGTCTAAAGTCTAAACCCTAAAATTATTATTTTGTTTTTTTTTTATCATACACTACTCGACTCGAACGTGTTCCACTCGGTCAAGGTCGTCTCTCGAGTTGCTTGTGCAGTGTAATCGCATAATATATCAGAATATATTAATAACCGTTGTTTGACGATTGTTTTTAATCTACGATGAAGGTGTTGGGTTTCAACTAGGTACACCGACTTATAATAAATGGTATTATCATGGACGCAACATCATCAGAACGTGTGAACGTCGGGCTTATGTAAATTTGTTTTTAATTCGGACGGAATATGTACTTACACGTTTATCTACGATATGCGTGACAAAACCAATTACAATCGACTAATCGTCAGCTTTTGGTGCCATGGAGCCAAGTGTACGATAGCAAAGGTCACATCAGTTGTTGTTATTGTGAATTTTGGAAATTATCGTTTTCCATATTCTAAAAAACAAATATAAATATAAACATATCCGAAAAATATATTTATTCTTAAATTTATAATTTTCATACTGAACCAAATGAACCTAATGTTGACAAATATTGTATGCCTAGTATAGCCAATGTGGTTGAAAAACCCCATGTTATCATACTTACTAATGGTTTAAATTCCACAAATATATTATATTATTATGTTTAAAGAACAACAACGGTCGAATCGTATAATATTATTATTTACCAGGTACTTTATCGACCATTACCAAGACGGACGTTTACCTTGTTGTCCAGTGGCCGGCAGTCGTTAGTAAATGGGATATTTTCGATGTATCCAACTCACGTTTTACCTTCGTTCGTACTTTGTCGACTTGTAATAATTGTTATTATTATCCGGTACCTATTTAGTTTGTGGTGACCCTGCGATCTCGCGTTATCTCGTGGATCTATGCAAGCCTCTGTGCTGTGTACGCATCATTTTCGTTTATGTCTGGCTTAAATAACTCGGAAGCTACTGCATGTTCTCACGGTCGGTAATTTGTAAATTATCCATGATACACAGGTATCTACGCCGCTGATAATCGTGATTCGCCATCATTGTATCGTCGCTGCGATTATATTTTTTAAACGTTTATTATTATATTTATCGCCTGTGTTTTATAGTGTAAGTTTTTCGTTTAGTCGCCTTGACGTGTGCACGCCACACTTTGGCACAAGGTCTGTTAATGATAATAACGATGACTACAAATAGAATATATGGTAATTTTTCCTCTTGGTTGACAATTAAAACACCGCTACAACGCATTATGGTTTTTTAATCATCTATATGGTTTAAAACGTGTAATCATTTTCTTTGTAAACTTATTGTTTGTTTGAAATCTGGATTTGTCCGAAATCGCGCCGGTAATCCAACAAAAACTGATGTCTAGTCTAAAAATATTGTAATCTTAAAAAAAAATGATGACAATCGTTCAGACCCTTAGCTATACAAATCGTGCATACATTAATTTGCAACAAATTGTGATTTTAGCAATATTGTGAAACGAATCATCTGATCAGAGAAAGTCAACCACCTTTTTTGTAACCACAAGTTTTCTATTCAGGCGACCAACGTAATTGTGGTAGAGAAACAATATTATGACTCATACCGCGGAGTTGCCAATTGTGACTAATTGTCAACTGACATCGGTTAGGTCTTAATTATGCGATTCATACTCGTTATAATAATTATATAATCCGACCACTCTAGATGTACAATGAATGAAAACAACTATGTATTATAACTAATAAGTATTAGATGTTTGTAAATGGTCTAGGCATGTTACTCAAATTTAGCTTTTCGCGTACATCAGTATGTATTTTCTTTTTTCTGTTGATCAATCCGATGACTAGTTTGCAAGAAATATCCATTCTTCTTTATTAATTGATTTTAATTTCCTCGTATGAATTCTTGGTTCATCACTATTTTTGTCATATATTATATTCCAACGCAGTCTTTCCCTGTGATTTTTACTTTCCCGCACGACGCACACCCTTCTTTAGCTGTTAATCCAAGTAATCATGCTTGTAATCAAGGCTAATCTATAAAGCACGATACGCCAAACGTATGACTTAAGAAGATTTTTTCTGATATGTAAGCTAATATTTCTTGAAGTAAAAAAAAAACCTTTTATTGATTAAATGCCATTTTAGATTGACGAATTTGCTTTACTATTTCTTTTTGCTCTTTCCTTTCGCATATATAATACTTTCAAGTATGTGAACTCTTCTACCTGCCCAGTTTCCAGATTTTCATGTGGATTTATTGTTGTCCTGGTGTTATTACTCCTACTTTTTTTTTATAAAAAAAACCGCCACATCTGGAGGAACCGATTTCGCATTACTTCCTCTCCGGTTGGCATCGTTTATTGTTTATCACAACAAACAATAAAACGAAATCAACGTGTTATTATTCTCATTTTATTTTATTTTATAATACGGGCGTTAGCCCAAAATACAACTTTTTAACAGTTTAACTTCAAAAAACTTAAAGGTTATTAATATTTATATATTACTACTATGGTGCGGAAGGCAATGGGAAACCACCGCACCATAACCACTTCCCCAGGATGGCAACTCTTATGTCTAGTAGAGCAAGATTGTCCAATCGACCTAACAGGTCATAGACTTGTTAGGATATATTACTATACCTACAAGAACTTTTTCTCTTTGAATATTTTAATAATATTTATATTGTATTTCATGTAACCATATATTATGTCGAAATTTCATGTCAATATTATGACGATGAACTAATGTGTTCCAAATGCAATTTAGTTTAGTTTTGATAAGTAGTTGTATAATTAATATATTTAACAAATGTTGTTTTTTATGTTTACAGGATGCGATGCATTCCTTTCGGATTTGGACAAAGTCCCGTGCATCCAGATAGGGAGTTTTACGCTCCGTTTGGAACTCGACGATGAATTGTCACCTGAGTTGCAAGAAGTGGCTCTGAAAGAACTGAGGGAGACACCCGAGCGGAAAGAAGATGCCATCTGCGAACTAAAAAAGTTGCTTGAACGTAAGTGTCAATAATTATGTTCATATTATGTTATTTCTATGTGGGTATGCAATTTGAATTTAGTAGTCGTTGTACCTAACACATGCGTTTGTTTAACCATTGGAAGTTGGTACTATTTTTTCATCTATCGAACATTTAAGTATAATATTTTAATGTCGGACTTGCTGATAAAACAGGCGTTGCAGTAGCTGCACGATGCATAGGTACTTTAATGGTGAACCGTGACCCGTGACTTTCGGGAAGTATAATCTTAGCTTAAACGCGTAATGTTAAATTAAATAAGCTAACTATCGTGCACAAATTATTGTACACTGATGACAAGCACAAAACCGCGCTCTTGAGTTGATAGTAAAATACCGCCAGACTCAATTTATTGCATTGCAATAAGAATCAATAAACTTCAACTACGAATTTTGTAGTTACTCATATTGAACTAGGTGCCTGCTCTTGACTGAAATTAATTTATATACTCGTGACAAGCAATTCTTACGGAACGCCAATTCATTCGTCATTTATTATTGAATTAGTCTTTGTGTTGAAGATTGAATTGCAAAAAATATACAAATCACTATCTAATTGATAAATTCGTTAAAATATCAAAACAAAACATTGTATTATAGATAAGTACCAAAGTTCAAAAAACAATAATCGAATTGCGTGCTATTGCTTAATATTACTGCGGGATTGAATCATTAACACAGCGCTGTAGTTTTCATACTTGTGCAATAGCGAGGGCTTAATAGATGGATATTTAATTTTCTGTGTTTGTTTACTTAATTTCCTTCTTTTTTTTAGAGGGGGGGGGGGCGCTTTTTAACGAAACCCTCCGTACGTTTACCTCACACCTATGCATAAGTTACGACAGGTAACGGTCTGACACCGGCTGTTGTATTACAGTAGTTGGTATAGTGTACTAACGAATGTGTTTGGTCATTTTTGTTGTAGAGGACAAAGACTTAAAGACACCATTGCATAACAATGCTTGGCTCATTAGATTCCTTCGGCCGACCAAATACTATCCTGAGAGCGCGTACAACTTGGTAAGCACGTCGGTCACCTCAAAAGGCTTAACTTAATCCTCATTGATGGTATAATGAATGTTTGCTTTTTTGCTCGTTATTTCGCAGATCAAACAATATTATCAGTTCAAAGTGAAGCACGCCAACATGTACAAAGAACTGTCGCCCAGGACCGAGAAGAACATATTCGACCACAACATACTTCATGTTTTGCCAAAGCGTGACCAACACGGGCGCCGTATATTAGTCATCGAATTAGGAAGTGAGTTTTCAGACTATGGCTGTGATTCGACGACCTTGGTTTTATTGTATTTTTCCCTTCTCAGAGAAATGGAAACATAAGAAGTGCACGTTGGACGAGGTGTTCAAAGGCGCAGTTATATTCTTGGAGGCGGCCTTGCTGGAACCTGCCACCCAAGTTGCTGGCGCTCTAGTCATATTCGATATGGACGGCCTTACGCTGCAGCAGACGTGGCAGTTCAGTCCGCCGTTTGCCAAGAGGATCGTCGATTGGCTTCAAGTTGGCACCGTTACATTATTAATAAAAAAAAACTCAAGTACTTGTTCGTGGGTCAAGTCTGGCCTATGCCTAGCCTTTTAATGAAAGAGATCGGAAACATCTTAAGCAACCCATTTAGGATCATCGTTGCTTCCTTCCGAGGAATAGGTTTCCTGACGAATTCGTCCCGTGAGAGAGATACCGTTGTGTATAATTATTTCCTAAATCTACCACACACCTGTATGCACCCCCGACTTGACTAATTTCCAGAATTTATCTATACAATTAATTTTGCTTGAATTCCTTTTGGCTACAGACGTTTTCTATAGTTTTTTCAAGTATGTTGGCTGTTCCGTTCTGGGAATATTAGTTTGTGTAATTTGGAGTGCTATGAAATGATTTATCTTATAATTATATAGGTATACACTGTAACGTTAATGTACATGTTTGTAATACAACATCGCTTTCTGTCAGAAGAATTGTATAACCTTGCGCTTATAAGGCTGTTGCTGTGTGTATATATTTAACAACGTGTACCTAAAGCAGAGATCCGAACGTGAAGATTTTTTTAATGAATGATGATGGTTCACCAACTTGTTTTTTAATTTTCAAGTTGAATTATGGGGCACTGTAATCTTTTATAGTGTTTATAAAATTCTACGGTGTTGCCTTTTTATAATCAGTGTGTGAATATCAATTTTTATTATAGTTTTTAATTAAAAAAGTCTTATAGTAATTATATTTAAACGGCAAATCCTTACAATATTTTATTCTTGTTATTTGGACATCATTGTAATGGGCTAAACAATTTAAGACCTTGAGCATCCTACCAAATGCATCCTAAATACAAACAATAAACAAAGCAATAAAAAAACACCTTATGCCCATTTTCATGGAATTGTGACTATGTTTAGATTATTTATTACCATTTTAAAGCTTTATATCAATATAGTGGTAGTAGTGCCTACATTTTAGAATTGTTAAATATTTTGTTATTCGCTGTCCTTGTTGTTAAATATGTTTTCGTAATTTTTAATAAATTCACAAGAAGTCGCCAATGATTCCAATAACATCACAGTTATGAGAAAATAATATGTTTAAAATGTTTTACAATTTCTGTATCTTAAATCTGCTCGAAAACATTTTTCTTGTGCAATATAAAAAATGGTATAATACACAATTTGCATTGCTTTATACAAATTTTTAAAAATAAAAATGATAAAGAAAAATAGATATAAAAAATGGGATCCTCATACCACCACATCCACGTCATTCTGTCTACGCGATCGCGGGGAGCTCAGAGTATTCAATCAGTCAATAAGTATAAACATGCTATAACATTCTGCAAGATCTCCTTATTCAATTTCTTGATGACCAGGAAATGTACATTTGAGATACCGATCGGCTACGTTTTAAGTGTTGAGAACAGTTTTTTGATCTTTTAAAGTCTAAATGTTAACAAATAAAACGGTAAAGTCATGCATAGCCATTATCAAAGCTCTGAAATACGTTAAATCTTCTTCCCTTAGCAACGTTCTCATCGCCACCGACTCCCTTTCTTGTCTCACTTCACTTCAATCTCTTCCTTTCTCTTCCAAGCTCTCCCCTTATATCTTTCAGATAAAACAACTTTTATAATCCTTACACACTTCTCACGTCGTTGTTGAGTTTGTATGGATTCCTGGCCACGTTGGCATCTCGGACAACGAAAGGGCAGACTCCCTCGCCAGAGCTGCCTGTTTCCTGACCCCAGATCCCTCCACCTATATACAATGGACCGATTTCGTTCCTCCCATACGCAAGGCCCTGCATGTCTCCTGGTCCTCACTATGGAAGAATTCTCCCCCTAATTATGCCCAATTTTATAAAACCATCACTTCCGCGCCCAACAAACTCCCGTGGTTTTATTTCCTCCCTTTGTCTAGGAGAGAAATAATCTCCTTTTCCCGCTTAAGATCCGGTCACAATTTACTCCCATACCACGCCTTTAAACTCTCCCTTAACGATTCCCCATTCTGTCCTCGTCACGACGATGAATTTCCTTGCGACTTCCCCCATCTGCTATGGTGTCCTGCTTTGTCTCAACTTCGTACTCCTCTCTTCACCACCCTATCCTTCTATAATATCAACCATTTTGACACTTATTCCATTCTCAATTCCTCAGTCATTCCCATCATTAAATTTGTCCTTCTCTTCATTGTTGAGTCCGGCTTTGCCTTGTAATTGCTGTAAATAATTATTTTTTAAGTTGCTTGTCTTTGTAAATATCGTCCAGTTTGTACACATTAATTTTTAGCATCAATTCATGAATTTATTAACTTATAATTGTAGAAATAAATAGTTTGTACTAATATTTCAATAAAAACAAAATTAAAAAAAAAAAAAAAAACGGTTAAGTCCGATTTTGTCACCAATTTTGTTATACCTTTCGATGATTGAAGAGTACGCACTTAAATGTTTTTTGAGTTACTTACATACTTTTTCGTGTAACTTTACTTGTTTTTAAATAGTTTGGAGTTAACTTTTTTATTTGATCGTATTCCCTTACTTTATGTCTTTACTGGCGTTAAATAACAAATTTATACTCGAATTTAGCTGTAGATTACTTGTGTGTAATTTAAACTAGAAAACGGGTTCTCTATTTAGTTTAGGTACCATAGTTATTATTTTTTTTGCAATCCAATATTATTTTATTAAGTTTTTAATTAAAATAACTAATTCATATGTCAATTAATCAATGTTTTAATTATTATGTTTTCTAGGATTGTGCCCCGGCCCGAGTCAAGGCAATTCACATAGTGAACCAGCCTGTTATATTTAGCGTAGTTTTTAACTTTTTCAAACCGTTTTTGAGGGAAAAACTGCGGTCTAGAGTGAGTAACTGCGACGAAAATCAAATGAATCCAGTTTTAAATATTGAACATATAAGCTAATAATTGTTGTATTTTTTTGCAGATCACTTTTCACGGTACCGATAGAGCTTCTTTGCACAAACATATCAACCCGTCTTCTCTCCCAGAGCATTACGGAGGCACTCTTGATGTGGCGACCGTCACTGGACCCCAGTGGCACGAACTGTTGCTGCTGTGTGATAAAGAATTCACCGGTAATAGGCCAACTGATATTAGACTTAAACGTTAAAAATTGAGTAGACAAGTAGAGTAGTAGAATCGTTCGCTGACGTGGTTCTACAATAATTCACTTCATTCCCAATAATCCCAAAATAAAATATTATATTATATTTATTGTCAATAATATAAATTAAGTAACGATAAGTGCATAGCTTTCGGATGATTTTTTTCCTTGACTAAGCCATTTAATACTCGTTGATTTCAAGCTCTAATTAATATCTATATCTATTGCTCCATCCATAACTCAATATTAAAAAAAAAAAAAAAAACGTACTTCGCTCACTTGCACAATGTTATCGATAATCTAATATGTTTATAATAGTGTTAGATTACCTCTACTATTGCTAGAAATATTAAGTGTAGTATGTAATTTGACCCCCCCCCTGTAAAACAAATAATGGGTAACGTGTTTGTACTCTTTTACAGCTATCAGACAATATGGTTATATCGGGAAAAAATAATTGTAGTCAACGGAAACTAACGATCCTCGAGTCAAGACCTTAAGATGCCGTATACTGTGGTTGTCAATGGAAACTTCACATCATTTATACTTTAATATAATATTTATTTTGTCTTCCGGTGTTTGTAAGTCTGTTACCTTAAAAATGAATTATTTTTAAGTCAAATATACATATATATATTTGACACATTTTTTTAACGATACAATTGAAGCTCAATGCATATTTAATATTATAAGGTAAATATTTATATTATTTTATTTTTTTTTTTACATAAAACCAGTAGACGTAATGCTATTTTAGTACTGTTTTATTTTTATTAATTCAATCAATGCCATACATTTAAAAGGGAATATTTTTATTGTTATTAACTTTTGTATTCATATTATTATTGCAATAATTTACCATCTATTGAAAATGTGACGATTTTAAGTGTATCGTTTTATAAAAATAACATAACATCTTCATGTTTAGTTTTTTAGAAATTATGTTACTATATCGCCGTACCTATTATAACATCACTTTAGTATTTATATTTCGATTTTATTCTTTACCTACAAATAAAATAACAGAGTTAATTCTGTTTCCAACATTAATTCAAGTTGAAAACGCCGCTATACACATAAATTGTTTTTCTGATTTGTATAAAATACTTTAATCAGGGACTGATAATGATTATTAGTGGTCTGTGGTTTAAATAAATTGTCTAAGCCTTCAGTTTAGCCAATGATAATGTTACGGCTTGGCCAGCTGCTGTACAGTTATAACATACACCATAAGTGTGACAGACTAAACTTATAAGCTGTGATTTATTATTGTTTTTTGTAAAATTTCAGTAACTCACAATTGAAGGGGTCAGTGGATAAAGGTGACATTTTTTGAAATTGTTCAGGAACGCCACTTTTGTAACTAAATTTTACACGAAAGCTATGGAACTTTTGTATATTCAATAGATGAAATAACCTTATAAGAGGGAAAATATCGGTCTAGAGATTCTCTATACTATACTATAACACTGTAACCCTTTTATTTATGCAATAAAATGCAGTTTCGAAAAAAGTGTTAATTAACACCTTTATCCACTGACCCCTTCAATTATATTTTATTAACGATTAATTACTAACCTAACCTAACCTAACCTAACCGTAGTTTTATTTGTAGATTACCTACGTACATAGTTTATGGCTTTGAAGTTTGCTAATTCGTCGTACAATATTGTTTTTTTATGTGTCAACAAAAGTTATATTAAAATTCTATGACCACTACATTTAAAATTAGATGATTTATGAAGAATCATTAATAATAAAGAAGATATAAATACTAGTGATTGGAATCCGAAAATCCGGATTTTCACAAAAAAAAAACGCTATTTAAGCTACTTAAAAATCGTTTAAGTATTAAATACTATTACAATATAAAGCTATGTACCTAAATAAAATATTTTTGATGAAAATTAAAAAATAAAGCCAAAAAAATAATTTGCTTTGGATTTCAACAAATCCGAAATTCAAAAGAATTTAATTTTGAGTTCCGGATAGGACCTGAAAGTTTATGCTCATAAAACAACTAATAAAACCCGAAATATACACTTACAAATTTGTTATAATTCAATTACTAGCTTTTAAGTTAAGACTAATAATTCTAACCACAAAGTCTAAATAAAAAATCGTTAGCATTTCTCTTGAAGACGTGATCATGGATAGTCTCTTATGACCAAACAAACAACTTAAACCCCACATATCTTAGGACATTTCTTTTGTTCTCATATAGGCGCATTTATAGATAAATTACATAACTTTAAATATATTTTAAGTTTTAAGTAACTATTAATTAACCGGAGTAATATAGTATAAAAATAACGTTATTAGTTAATTAGCATTCCCAGGGTGATATATTATTGAATATGCGCGCATTGTTGTCTTTGTTTCTGCGAGGAAATAATGGAGGAAAAAAAACAAAAAAGTTTAATATTTAGGTTAAGGCTCTTTGGGGTTTTGTAATGTTTTGAATTCGTGAATATTATTCACATTCTTTTATTTTTGTTGATGCACAGCGCCGTTAATAACATACCAGTTTTTAAAATACAAACAGGTTTTAAGAAAAAAAAACTTGCCGATCATATTGTCAATATAATCAGTTTTTTTTAAATTTCGGCTTTGGTTTTCCACAGGTTTTACTTACTATTATTTAATTGAAGATTGGTAAAATAAACAATCGCTGGTAGGTAACACAATTTAAAAAGTTGGCAAGTATTAAACGATTTTATAGTACAATAATTTTACAATTATAATTTTGTTATAGTTTTTTCAAAAATAAATACCTACCCAGAGTAGAAAAATTCACAGTATAATTAATTAAATATTGTTGAAGTTATTTTACCTATAATAGTTAATTCAACAATATAATACTCATATGAACGATGCCTTCATTTTTATAATCTATTCTAAGTCATCATACAACTTAAGCAAATAAAAAATATACATAGGTGTATTATAATTATTTGTAAGTACTTTGTTGCAAATTTATTGTATTTCTTTACCTGAGTGAAGCTGGGTACACAGGCAGCTATTATATAAAAATGAATTGCTGTTTCTTGTTAAGTGCATAACTTGAAAATGGCTGGACCGATTTAGCTAATTTTTTTTTTTAATGTTCGTAACAGTTCGAATAAGGTTTTAGCGGATAGAAAAATTGACCGGAAAATTGGAAAATTTCAAGTTTAAAATGTTAGTGAAAGTTTATTCCAATAGATAATCAGCTGACATATGAGCAGTTTGACATATTGCATAGCCCCCCTCCCTTCCCGGGAAACGCAACTAGTGTTGATATAAAAGTTGTTAGTAGTCAAATGTTTACTATTAGTTAGCTAAATTAAGAAGAACTAAAAATTGCCTATACAAAACTCCTTAGTTTTATTTTCTTTTAACATAAATTGTATGTTTTGTTACTCAGTTTTCTTAAAAATAATTGGATATATAATAATTTTACAATAGAAAAATAAAAATAAACCTGCATATTTTTGTTTATTTTAGCAATGTTGTCATCAAATTTAAGCAAAATATTAATTTTAATTTTGTCAATTTTAAGTAGGTAGTTATTATCAACTTCTTAAATATTTTTAAATTATGTTTGATTTACTTTCTTATGACGATAAGCCATAAGGTACAATTATTTAATTTAAATATAAGTTCGATTACTGGTTTTGCTATTTTTTTTTTTTTGATCTTCAATCTCTCGATTGGTTGGCCGCAGCTCTCCAAGCTTCTCTGTCAAAACTCAGCTCCTTTAAATCTCGGTAACTTCCCATGTCCATGTCCTTCATAATTTGTGAAGTGTACTGCATTCTTGGTCTTCCTCTTCCGGTTTTACCATTCACATATCCTTCAATAATTAGCTTCAGCAAACTATCATGGCGTTTTCCCTATCAAAATCCCTTCTATTAATTATAATTTTTCTTTTTTCTTTAATTCTTCTCAAAACTTCTTCATTTGTAACTTTGTCGTTTCATGAAATCTTGAGCGTCTTCCGGTAACACCACATTTCAAAAGCTTCTAATTTTACATTCCATAAGTATATTTTCAGAAAGTTCTTCCTTGTGTCTAATTCTACACTGTTCGTAGTTAGTAAGTGGTTTTTGTTCTGAAATGCTCTTTTTCCTTGTGTAATCCTATTTATAATATCTAACTTGCTTTTACCGTCCTCGGTTATTTTACTGCCAAGATAGTAGTAGTTTTGCACTTGTTCAATAGGTTCTCTATTAATATTTATGTTTAGCCGTTTTTTATCTAATTTACTACATGACATAACTTTGGTCTTATTTTTGTTTAACTTCATTCCGTAATTTCCTAAAATATCTTCCGTCTTATCAAGTAATATTTTCAAGTTTTATTTTTTTTCAGTGCAAAACGCTATATTATCATCTGCAAAGCGAAGTATTATTACATTTTGTCCACCTACTCTGACTCCTACTTGTATTTCATCTTTTATATTTTTTATAGCTTCTTCAATATACTTATTAAACAAAATAGGGGACAGAATGCATCCTTGCCTTACTCGCTTACCAAGTCTTGCTACTTTTTCTATTCCATCTAGTTGGATTTGGATCACTTGATTTTTGTATAGGTTGTATACAACTCTACGATCATTGTATGTTGTTTCTAGTATTTTAAATATATTAAACATTTTGTCCCAATTTACATTGTCAAAAGCCTTTTCAAGATCGACCAAAGCTATTAAAATATCTTTATTTACTCGTATTTGTTTTTCTATTACGATTCTCAATGATTCTCTAGTACCTATATTTTTTCTAAAACCAAATTGGTCATTCCTTAGACTTGAGTCTATTTTTTTTACTCTCTATTCGTGTCTTTATTACTCTACATAATATCTTAGAAGTGAGAGATGTGTCATGTGAGATTAATTGTTCTGTGTTCTTTGCATTTCATTGTTCCTTTCTTTTTTATTAACGTTACGACTAATCCGGGTTTAAAGTCATTTATCATCATTTCTCTTTGATATATCTCATATAACTTAGTCTTCATAGCTTGCCCTCCATTTTTGATTAATTCTACTGATATTTCGTCTATTCTACTAGTTGTATTGTTCTTGGTATATTCGACCGCTGCATCGAATTCTGACTAAAGAATATACTCGCCTTTATCGCCTTTTTCTGCAGTTTCTTCCTTTTCTAACACGCTTTCATTCAAATTTCCGTTGTATAATTCCTTCAAATATTTTTTCCATCGTTTTGCTTTCTGTTCTATTTCCAAGAGTATTTTTCCATCTTTGCTTATCAATGCATAAATACCTTTATTTCTTCTACCTTAGTATGTGACCTAGCCAGCTTAGTCTTTTGGCTCTAATTACTCCAATTATATTTGGTTCTCCAAAGGCATTGTACACTTCTTCGTTTGACCTTATTTCATACCTTTGTGTTACATTATTTATTTTAGGTCCACATATTTTCCTTAGAAACTTTCTTTCTACTATAGCCAATTTTCTCTCATCCTCTAACATTGTTGGCCATGTTTCACATGCATACGTTATGATAGGTCTTGCTATTACTTTGTATAGTCTCATTTTCGATTTCTTTGATAGTAGCTTTGAGCGCAGGTACTTAGATAGTGCATGTAGACATCTGCTAGAACACGTTTCTTAATTTCTTCGTGATTGTTGTTTTGGCTGTTTAGTTCTGTTCTACAAGATACTTAAAACTTTGTACTTTTTCAAATGTGTACTCTCCGATCTGTATATTCCTTGTCTGATGTATTTGTGGTTGTTGTCTTGTTATACACATATACTTGGTTTTGTTTTCATTTATTTAAAATCCTATTGTCTTGGCACTTCGTATTAATTCCTCTGTTGCTAGTTTTATGTCGTCTTCAGTTTCTCTAAGTACTACGATATCATCAGCATACGCTAAGATTGATACAGATTTTCCGACATCAATTCCTTTATATTTATTATGCATGCTTCGAGCTACCACCTCCAGTGCGATATTAAAGAGTATAGGAGAAAGTGCATCACCCTGCACAAAAATGGTTGTAGAATAATTATGTATCATTTAAGTAGGTATACCATCCGAAAATACATTTATAAAGATATACATTATTATACACAGATTTGTACAACATATAAAAACATTTTGTACGTTAGATTACCAGTTTGATTATACTTAATATACCATTATGTTTTTAATTAGTTAATCGAATAATTTGTTGGCATTTAAAAATTATCCTTTAAACAAATAATGTTATCTAGAATGATAATAATTTTTTTTAATTTAACTAAGTAGGTATAATATATAAGACACAAATTAAGTTGTTATTTTACTTTTAAATGTTATTCCTAAACACTACATAAAAAAAAAATGTTTAAGTTCAGCATTAAGAAAGAGTATTAATTATATTTAAACGTAGTAGAACTTTTTAAGTAAAACGAATATTTAAAAAAAAAAAACTATTTTAGGTTTTGCTGAAAACGAAAATAAATGTTGTCATTTATGCATTGAATATGTAGTTGACATTCCCCCAGTGTTTTTAAAACTAAAAAACATTACTTTTACTCCTATTAAATGTATTTTTTTTTTTTAAGGAAAACAAGAATAATATAATCGAAATTATTACTCGCAACTAAACCCTAACCGACCATCGTTTGGTCAATATATTGTTAAACAAGGCACCGGGACCGCCAGGTATTATTGCAGTCTTTAGAGTTGTGTCATAGATTAAATACATATAATAAATAGATAAAATAAATGTATTTAATCTATGGTTGTGTTTTTAACTACGACTTAGCAATATTGGAAACAATCGATTTTGCAACTTTTGTTTGCCTAACCTTTTCTTCAGTACGTCGGCGTTATTAGATTTTATATATTTTATAGAGCAATAAAATATATCATACGCTACTTGCATTGATAATGTATAATAAAACAAACGTCGGCGTTGGGTAACAATTCAGCAACATACTGGTGCAACGGTTTTGTTTTAGGACAAGAGGAAGGAAAACTGCACGTTGCGGTAGGAAAAACGACCGGGTCGAATCTCACAAGATTTTCCGAGAGTGAAATCGCGGTTATTGCTATCAAATATCGTTATACCAGCTACATATATACTACTCGGTTGTTATTATCGTTTACGCTTGTGTACGCCGGTCGTTATTATGGCAGGCACACCGCACGTTATGGCGGTCGGTGTTGGCGAGCGTTTCGTTACGGTTCGGCTTGCGCAACTACCGCAGTAGTGATGATGATGCAACGACAAAACGGTACCTGTTGTATGTGTGTGTGTGTGACAGCAGCTACATTCTAGACACACGTTCCATTCTCCACGTTCATGCGTAGACGGGTAAAATTGTATAAACAAAAAAAAATGTAATAGTTAAAAACGATATCGAATGTGTGTGTGTAGGTCGGTGTTTTCAGTGCAAAAAAAAACACCAAGACGCTTCAACGCCGTTTCCGTTTTCAAAAAGATTCAACAGATAACTCGGTGCAGCGGAGAAGCGACCTTGAACGGTCCTTCCGATTAGTGTGTGTATACACACAACACCGGACGCGCTCTCGACGTGCATTATCGCTTTTCGGTCGTTGTTCACTGTTCAGTCGCACGCAAACCGACAGCCCACCCTGACGCGTCTTATGAGTCGAGATCTTGACAGCGTCGTTAAGAAATTGAATCCCTAGCTATCGAGATTAAGAAATCGTCTTCCGATATTTGTACACGCGCATTATTGTCCTTCAGTATACCTTCAGGGTCCGGGACCGGGTGACAAGTTAGAAAACATGCCGCAGCTACCTTCGGACGACGAAGACACCACCAGGGTAGGCACGTCGGTGGACTTCCCCGACGTGTTGGCCGACTTGGACTTGGAAACCATCACGGAAGACGCGGCCGAGTACGCGCGCGTCCGGCTCGGCGAGACCGAAGAGAGCCGCACCCAACTATTGGCCGAGCTGGAAGACATGATCTACGGTAACCATAATACTATATTATTACACTAACGTGGCTTTTGGTGTTATTTTTAAAATAAGGGTTTAATAAAAAAAAAACGACATTTGTCTATGATAAAAAATGTTACAGGGTAGGTGGATCGGATATACAAATGTCGCACTCTACGGATGGTTTTAGGAATAGATTTTTTGATTTTGTTTTTGCTTATATAAAAAATACGAGCTTGCTTTTTCGGGTTTATTTGTGAATTATCCGCCAAAATTAAAACTAAAACATACCGTGGAATTTTGCAAAAAATTCTCTTATAAAAAAAGGGCAGCTAGATTTTTTTTTGCAAAAATGGTCATTATCCATTTCGACTAACTGTGTCCAAAATTTCGTAATTTTGGTGTGACACAAAAATAATTTGGACATTTTTCAGGAATTTTTGTGGGATCAAATAATTTTTTGTTTTAGTGCTTATTTATTAATTATCATATAATAAAAATACGAATAATTTTATTGTAAAAACTGATTATGGGAAATTTCTAAAAAAAAAAAAAACTTAAAACAAATTAAGTGATTTTTTTTTTATAGAGTTTTTCGGGAAATTCTGTGGTATGGTTTATTTTTACTTTTGTTGGAAGTTTTAAAAATAAACCTGCAAGAATCCGAAATACCCTGAGTTTTTGTCATTAAAAAAAAAAATACAAAACATCTATTCTTAGAAGTTAGAGCTTATTATGTAGACGTCCCGTAGAATGCGACTTATGGGTACACCCTGTATATAAATTTCATAAGAAAAACTTAGAAAATTCTACTGGCTCACTGTTAATTAGTCGGAACTAATGTAGAATACACCATGTACGACCACCAAGAAAATCGCGGCATGTCCTATAATAGAACAATTGAGGAAGTGTTATCTGTAGCTTTTGAATGTCTTGCATAATACAGCGGTCAAAACTTTAAAATTCTATAAGCCCTATAAAATTAATTAACATAATATTATTAACTGCGCAACTATTATCGAAGTCTTTATAACATGTTATAGAATCCTAAATGGCTAAGTTCAACCATAGAGTCACGTTAACTATATCGTAGCAAAAATAAAAACATTGTTTTAAAAACAGCAGTTTTTTGAGGACGAGCTACCCAAATTTCAATTATTATTAGTTTAACTATTATTTAAAAATAAGTAATAACAAAAAGGTGTGTAGTTAAGCATTTAATTATAACATATTCTGAGTGACGTAACGCTAATTTGTTTTAATATTTGCCTACTTTCAATATTTTTTTAAAAACTATTTAGATAATGTAATATGTTTGTTTTTTGTACGTAGGAAATTAAATTGAAAAAAAAAACGGACTTATTAAACGCAATTGATAAAGTAACTAGTTTTTAATTGTTTTCAGATTCTAATATGTTTTATTTCGGAGGTAATAAATTGTGTTTTCATATCAAACCACCAATTGTTCGGCCATTTTATCCGCAAATAGTTTACTAATGACTAGCTTATTGACTCTAACCTAATCGTGACTAAACCTTAACACTTTATTAATGATGCGCAGACATTGACATAAAATGTTTTTAAATCATCACATCGAATTTTTTTAAACGTTTAACAATGTCATAAATCATTGTAAACAATTTAACTTTACTAATGTGATTTTTTTAATTTAGATTCAAGATTTTCTCGCATATTTTAATAAATTTGCATAGTGCTTAATAAAATATCTATTCTATGGATGTATTTTATGTGAATACTGCTTGATGATAAAATGATGGTTTATATTATTGTTTACGTTGTGCATAATATTTTATGTACACTTCATTCTAATCAAATATTATATTATAATAAAGTGGTCAAACTCATCGACAAATGCTTTATCACGCTTGTAGGTTATCATACCGTACACATGACTTTATTCTTATTAGATAGACATCATATTTCAGCATCAATAATCTACCTAATAGTCCAACTATAGTATGTTTTTTTTACATTAAGAAGGCGTCGCACCGGTGATTTTCAGTGGTAAAAACATGTTTAAGCAGACAGAAAATAACTTGCTTAATTTTGGTTTTAGAGTAAAAGCACCCATTATAAAATTAAAAGAGAACAATATTCCGGAGGGCAAGACGGTGCGTTTTTTAAAAAAAATTAATTTTTTAGAAAGTTAAAGTCATTTAAAAATGTTAAAATAGTCGTTATTTCTAAACTATGTATTGAGCGTTATACTTAGAATAATGAAAAAACGCACCGTGTTGCCCTCCGAAATATTGTTCTCTTTTAATTTTATAATTGGTGCTTTTACTCTAAATGCAAACATAAGCGAGTTATTTTCAGTCTGCTTAAACAAGTTGAGATGAAAAAACATTTTTAAATCGCTTTCAAGGATGCTGTGATAGTCCAAAAAATAAATTAACTACCAAAATAGAGTCCTAGTTATTGAACTAATAATTACACATCACAGTTTAACCTTTAAATTAAGATTTTGTAAAAAAAATCCTATACTTTACTCCTTAAAAATGGGCGGTGCGACGCCCTCTTAAGCCTTACCTACCATAATAATTTTACTTGTTGTAAACTATTAAAATATATAACTTCAATAAAAAAAATAGCTTTACACAATACCTAATGGTGTTGTATCGTCCGTCAAACTTAGCCCAACGACTAAGTTACATAGTACATACACACACAATTAATAATAAAAATAATAATTAATAACGGGCGTCACTTTATTATAAATAAATTGACCGAGGACTGAGAAAACAGTCGAATTTCTGCTTGGAGAATGTAGGGATTGCCTGTAGTGCGGGGCATGTGAACAGTGAACACGTTTGGCACTTAAGATTAATGACTTATCATTCTGTACATTTATTTAATAGTACTTGCTATTTAATATCCTAGATTCGCAGATGTAATGAAAAAATAGTGATTTTTTTTGTTTAAAATCACGCCGTAGGCCAACGCTTATATAAAAAGCACTTTGATTAATTTAAATATATTAAAACATTTTATCTTTATTTTAATATTGCTAAACTTATTTACAAAATTATAAGTTGCTCAATTATCGGTTAGCTAATTAGCTATTTAATCAATTATTTTTCATCAATGAAATAATTAAAAAGAGAGAAATATAAAAAATATAATAGAATTAATGTTTCTTTCAAATTAGCATAATTTATCGCACAACCATTAATTAATAGCTTTTATTCTAATACATTTAGTTTAATTTTCAATAAACCATTAGAATTAGATATTATGTTATTTATTATTACAATTCATTTAATGATTATAAATCATAATAACGTGTTCAGCCTTGAAAATTTGCCAAGTAATCGAATACTCAGTCAATATTGTCACCAGATTGCTACAAAAACAAAAATTGTGTATAATTGTCATATTATTATTTCTCGTGCAAATTTAATACTTCTGTTATTTAATTTAATTGTTTTAAATTGCATTATTTAAAACAATATTGAACACTTGATCAAATTACTACAATACTCGTGTACAGTATAGTAACTAATTGTTCTGAGTAATAATAATAAAACTAACTGGATTTTAACATTATAATAGTTAACGTGTTTGATAGTGGTTTTATAATTGACGGGTAATTTGTGCATAATATTGATCCTATTATAAATTAGTTTCATACGACCAACGGCTTGTATAGATGTACGATTATTCATAAATCAAAATTCAAACACTTTTTTAACAGTCATAACGTAGGTTTAAGAATTTAATGTAGACTTCTACTGCTGATACGCTGTTGTCGTTGTTACGAGTATAAAAATGTACAACAAAAACCAATTAAGGAAATAACTACCCAGTGCCTATAAAACGATAATAAAAAAAATATATCGTTTCTCGTACCTAAGCAAGTAATAATAATAGTTTTCAACCACTTTTTACCACATCCGAGACCGAACCATGGTCTCACCAAGGTGTTCCGGATTTTACAGCATAATATTCTTTTTCCTGTTTCAACGTCGCGCACGATTTATCGTTACAATAATTTCTTTAAAAAAAAACAGTATAATAAACACGGCATGTCCTTGGTTTTTTTCAATTGTTTATCAACGGCTTTTAGTTTATGTGTTTAATAATTATATTATCAGGACAGGATAAAACTGATCGTTTCCGTTTAACATTTCTTATTATTTAAATCGTAGAACTGGTTTTTGTTTAGGTACTTGCCAAATATCATTATTAATCCAAAAGTAAATAGTTCAATTACATATGCCACATGAAGGTGTTTCATGTAAATTTATAATTCTTATAATAATGCATTTCTTTTAATATTCTGTAAGATTTACAATATTTTTTTTTACGACATACTCATTATAACATTATAGCTGACCTAGATTATTCACGTTCTGTTTCCATTCTACTCTAGCTTATAATATGAGGACTTTAACGAGGTACTGATTAGCTGTTTTAGTAAACATATATATTTAAAACATTAGGGCTAAAAATAGGCCTTAGATTGCTGGTTCTATTTATTCATAACGACATCTCAAGAGCGGATTTTTAACAAAAATTAAAAATATAATTATTCATAACGAATAATAAATTATTAACTTATAATTAATATAATTATCAACTAAAAATTAGTATAATTATTATATAATCGATTAGCTGGGCTAGGGACTTGGGCACTCGTTCACACTATTGTTTATTGTTCTTTTAAAGGTTTATTTTTAAATAAGATGATTTATAATTACAAATAAAAATGTTTAAAATTTAAAAATATAAGAAATAAAAAATATATAATTAATTTTAAGGCTTTATTTAGTATATTATTTATTTATATTTTACCCTAATTAACTGATAGGCCAACTACAATATTATTACATTATTTCAGAGTTAAAATCTAATCAAATATTTAATTTCGTTAAAGTTAAAAGCAAATATCAACTTATCAATCAGTCAAGTTAATTTAAACATTTTTTTAAATTACTATTTTTTTTTTTTACTCTTATTTGTTTTTTATTTCAAAACAATTAATATTTAACACTTTTTTTGGCGGACGAAATATTTAGGTACATATGAAGTTATTCAGAGATGTACGCAAATATTAAACTCGATTGAAATGTTTATAAACGTGTTAATGTATAGTATTGCTAATAAACATTTTAGTTTTATTGAAACTATGTAAATAATTTATAAATTTAGTTTTGCTTTTGTAATAGACTTATGGTTATTGTATGTCCATTATTTTAATGACCTTAGGCCATAGAAAACAGTCATCTGGACCGGATTATCATTACGAAAAATGCACATTGAACAGCTAGTCGATCACAACTAAAAGTGCTTATTAATTTGTAAATTAAAATACTGTAAATGGTTCACCGCTATAAGCTGTACATTATTATTAAACGCCTCATATTTTTATAAATAATATTATCTATGATAATATACCGCGTTCGCTTTGACACCGACCACCGTGACTAAGGTTATTATTATATAATATAATATTATACTGGGGAAATTTTCATTTACCTTCGAAAGTAAACGTATCGTACGCACGAATTGCACGGTGTATATATACACCTCTATTTGCATGTTTTTTAGGCAGGAGATAAAATTACGTTGTTTCTTCTAGTTCAAAAAACTGATCAAATAAACAAAAGTATAATTACTACATCAATATTATAATAAACGCACGCCTGTTCCGTTTGCGCGCAACTAATTAATGAATTTAAAAAAAATTACTATGAACAAATTCTGATGTAGCAATTTTTTTTTTTTACACATTAATGTAACTCTCCAATTGATGAGCATGAGTATGCACAATTCAAATTGCAGCAGTCTTGTAATTATGCATTTTTTTATCTTAAGCCATAGTAATTTTTTAACCACTCTTCGTCGTGTAGCAAGTCTATAATAATTTCTATAGATACTTTAAATTATATTGTGTAATTCAAAATTGAGAAAACATCTTTGATTTTACTTGTTACTGGTTTAAAATACGGTACTCGAAAACATTCCTAAAACTAGCCGAAATAGTTCCAAATATTATAGGTGTTCTTTAGAAATAACTTTGGCAATCTGCAGCCAAAAAAAAAAAAAAAATACATCAACCATTTTTCTCAGATAAGGTTGAATTGTATTATTATTTTTATTGAACATTTGCTGACTGTAGAATTAGCTGCGTGTAAATGTAATATAAAAAAAAGGCAAGAAATTCTAACAACATGATTATAAAAACATAATATATTGCATTACTATTGAAGCTATAATAATCGGTAATAACGCTTTAAATGATAAATCCTATGAGGTCCCTTAGGGTTGCATAGTATTTATTTCGCAAAACGAAATGTTTATTTCGAACGAGTTCTGCGAATATTTAATTTATTTCCTGTCTCATATTTAAGCTGATCCGGCAGCTCTAACTTGGCTCATAATGGTAATATTATTATTACAAAAATACATAAACACTAGCATGTACGTACTGTAATATAAAATTATAACGATGGCGAATTAACTACGTCCGTGTAATTATCATTTCCTTCGGTTTCAATCGTTTTTCAAGGTTTCGCGCGCTGTCTGCACGAAAACAAAAAACAAAACTAATAATGATTTATATACATTTATCAAATTACGCACGAGCTCGGTGACTTTTTTTCTCCTCTTTTTCGTATGAAATACTGAAACAAGTTTTATTTTGTAAACCGTACAGTAGAGTGTACAAATGATGAGTGTATTCGCTTATTATGCCAACCTGTGTTCGAATAAATGAAAAGCTATTCTTTTGTAAACCGTTGTAGCCGTTCAACGATCACGTTGTCAAGTCAAAAAGTTTAAACTATCCTAACTGACTAACTTACATTTACTTAAGCTTACTCCTCAGTCTTCATGGTGTGTTAATTGTATACAGCCGAAAACTAGTTTAGCATATTATTTTCAACGTCAATAAAAAATAAATTGGTTTAATCTTAAATAATCGTAAGTGAATGTTTATAAATTAAAACAAATTGTAATTTGTACATTAAATAACAGCAAACTTTAATTTGTACTATTGTGGTAGGTATATACAGGGTGATTAACTTATCGTGGACCACTCAATAACTCATTGGGTTTAATAAAAAATGTAATTTGTTTCTTTACATAATGTTTCTACACAATGTGATCTCAATTTCTCACATTTGTTTTTGTTTTTACCCCCTCCCAACTTAGTTTTTTTGATGAAAACTTTTGAAACTTAAACGGTAACCCATACATTGTATTAACTTTTAACTTTTTAAATTAAGAATAATGTACTAAAAATTTTGACTGTTCGATTACCGGTTTTGGATAACTATTTTTAAAGTTATAAGAGTTTAAAAGTTTGGATGGATGGAAATGTGCGGTTGGGAAATGTGCACAGATAAAAATAATACTACACTCCACTTTTCCTCTTGCCCTGAACTTGAAACGTCAAAAGTTTTTATCAAAAAAACTAAGTTGGGAGGGGGTAAAAAAAAAATTGAGATCGCGCATTGCATAAAAACACTATGTAAAGAAAAAAATTAAATTTGTTATTACACCCAGTGAGATATTGAGTGGTTCACGATAAGTTGATCACCCTGTATATTATGGTCAATGTATTAGGGTGGAGACCCTACCTATTGCTACCTTAAGAATTTATTTTCCCTATCTATGGTCATCTCATTTTATATTCAAATAAATTATTGTTGGCCATAGTAGCCAATACTGGTGATGTCTTTTAACCTAACTATATAATATGCAATAATCATGTTATTAAGTTTTTTGGGTTCTCTTCAATTAAAAAAAAAAATTTTAGATTCATACAACATACTTTAAAGATCAAAAGAGCAAGACGTATAATAATTAATAAAATAAAACAATAATAAAAAAAAGAGCTATTAAAACAATAAGTAATAACTAATAGTCTAAATGTACTCTTCAATGTGTTGTAGTGCACAACAAGTTGCTATAAGCAATTTATAAAAAAAAACAATTGTGGAAAACATTATTTTGATTTTGTACTATTTTATTTTTCCAGAAAAAGGAGAAATCACACCTCACAGAATGGACGAATTGTTTCTTTTGCGATTTTTGCGAGCTCGGCATTTTAAACTTATGCCGTCGTACAAACTGGTGAGTCAAGTGTTTTTTAGAATAATACAATAATATTAAAAAGTGAATTTGTTTGCATTAGTATTGTTACTGTGGTATACTATATTATTGCGTATACAGGGTGGGCTATTTATCGTAACACGCTCATTTTCTACGAAAATAATTGCATCATTTTGTAGTTTTCTTTGAAAAACATTTTTATTTATCTTATTTTAAAATATTATAAAATTATTAAGTATTCAACTTTTATAGTTTTTTCCAGAGCTCCAGAGCAAATTTAGAACGGGAGGCATGGTGTAGTGTAGTATTGTTTTTATCTGTGGCACTACCCTTACCGTCCTAAATTTTAACTTAAGTAACTTTGAAAGTAATTATCCAAAATTGGTTATCGACCAGTTAACATTTTCAGTAAATGATTCTTAATCTAAAAAGATAAATAAATATTAATTATGCTACCACTTAAGTTTTAAATTGAATAGAGCTCTGGAGAAAAATTAAAAGATGAAATTTGATTATCGTCTAATATTGTAAAATAACAAGAATTAAAGCGCTCCAAAATGAAAAACTACTAAATTGACATTATTTTTAAAGGAAATGTAATTTATGACAAAGTATTTTATGGCGTCATTTATTATTTTTTAACATTATAAATTTTACATTTGGCAATATTAGAATATGCGATAGCATACTCAGACCGTTGGGAATTGTTTTTACTTTTTTTTTATTGACCTGAACTCTGTCCAATCGGTAATCTAGACTCGACTAGACTTTGCCTAAATGATTTACAAATATTTGAATTGTGTCGTATGAAACGTAGTACAACCAAAACATATCATAAAGGTTTTAATTATTTACATATTATGACACAACCCGTATTACATGGTACCCGTATACATATTTAAATTTTAGTTAATGTTGTAAAAATATTATCTATTTTCTTGGACCATCTATATTATGTATTATCTGTTAGTCTATGGTATCTAAACAATTCAGAGACATATTCACTATTTATGGAGGATTCAGGGGTAGACGCATTGAATCTGGCTAGAGTAAGGGAAAATAAGGAAAGGATATCTCATAGTATACGTGCAACGTAGACCGCGTTTGCGCCGCAAATACGAATTGGCCAACAGGTGTAAACGCATTTGTGTTGTTCAGGCTCTTGGAAAAAAATTACTGTGAATTAGGTTTACTGCGGGAAAGCGACGATTGTTGTCTGAGGTCGCGATTCCGACCGTTCTCTCCGTACGACAACGATGGTTTTTTTGTTTCGCAAAACATATTATTATTATATATAATAATGACAACAAAAATAATTAATGCCAACACTGTAGTCGAAGGACGGCGTCATAACGAAAAATAGCGTTCAAAACAAGACTCCGTGAGGGCTATTAGTTATCTTTTGTGTGCACCTGATCATTTATTGTTTAATCCGCGACGCCTTCGAAAATAGAATAAGCTGACGTACGCCAAATACTAATATATTATTGTTCACGTCTATTTGTGAACAATATTCCATCGAACCGGACTATGTCGTCCGTCTCGGTTCGAAATGTCTTGGTGCGGTAATTCACAGATCTATACAGAAGGTAGACACGCAATCGGCACGTCTGCAAAATGTCAAAACACAGTAACCAAAAACAATTGGAAAATCGCAATGAAAAGCAACTCTACTGAACATTGAACACTCGTTAAGTTAGTGTTATACTAGTTGTGCAGTGTGCTTACTGTTTACTGTTTAATAATTTAGCGGGCTGACAATGTTCATTAGTTAGTACAAGATTTTCCAAAATATGTCGGTGTTACTGTGTTTTGGCAGTGTACAAGTGAGCTGGCTTGTGATCCAGTTATTAAATCTTCTTGTTCTTCTCGTTCGTTTTCATCCCTACTATTTGAGGTCAGCATAAATAACACACCCTCTCCGGGTGGCGGCCCAACAACAGTATTCACATTAGGCCCCATTGAAATTGAATTACAAGTTACCTTATAGCTAATAACTACCTTATAACTACTATAGAATAGTTTTACTAATTTATACAACTTTATTTACAATTGCTGGTGGTGCGTTCTCGGGCCGGTACGAACGCACCCGCCGCCCTCGAACACCGGGAGGTCTATTTAAACCTGAGGTACGGAAAAATAAATAATAACATACTATTTCGTAAGTCTGGAATGGGATTATATTTCTATTGTGTATGTAGTACTTCTGATTTTCGTTGTTTTTACTTGACACTCATGACTTTTAATTTAATAAATATGCAAAAAAATCAGTATTAAACACTACTAACAAAACAGTTATCTAGAAAGATAAAATATGAGTAGGTTTTATCTAGATAACAGCTTGTCTAGGTATATTGATCTAAATAATTCCCAGCACTAAAACAATACTGCATACCTTCAGTGGCTCAGCCAGACCCAGGTTCAAAGTTTGTATTCACCGCTTTTGAAAATCACTCCTGGTTACGTCGGATTACTGAAGATGACCAAAATCAGATTCCAACGGCAATTGTCATTGTTAAACTATTAACTGGAGCAAAACGATTTTGTAACACGTTGCATTAACGTACGCATATTTTGGAAACGGTTTTCAATAAATTTTGGGTCACGGACGGACACGACGTCTGAATTATAGTGTATATACACAGCACGCTTTCCTCTACATAATCAGTTTTGAAGGAGAACTAAACGTTACAGTTAGTTTTCTACTTCAAGATTATATGGAATTATTATGAATGATTACATACAAGCGCGTATTCATTTTTTGATTAGTGATCTTTGATATAGATGTGAGAAGCTAAAGCTAGTAACAAGTTGTTTAATACTATCTTCTTCACTTGTCTTATTACATTTCAAGTAAACATAGTAAAATAAGCACTTATTTCCTTTGTATTTGCCCAACTCAACATATTTTTTTATTAGCCTGAAACTAATGTTTAGGATAGAAATATGAGCTAAAATCTTTTTATTTTTAGGTAAACTTCAGTTAAGTTAGTATTACAGGTTTTTAATTTATTAAGATTATTATACATAAACCATGTAAATTAATTATTAATAATTAATTTAAATAAACGGGCAACAACTTACGCCGGATTAAAGAACTTTAAATTAAAAATATACACGCCGTTAATATTCTATAGATAGAGCTGTGCGTAATGTGTCCAAGCACTTCACATCGTTAAATTTGTTTGGTATAAGTAATATTTTGATCACTAGCCAATGTAGGTATAGTTAAACTGGCTTTAAAATCGGATTTTGGCCGTGTTGACAATAAACTCTTCCTGTCTAAAAAAATATTTACTGGATGACTTCAATAATCATGTGGTATATATACATACATTTACATTATCCAATCGGGTTTGATTTAAACTGCTAATGGTTTGGATGGGACGGTCGTTTAATTTATTCGGCACAGGAAATACAACGTTTTTTATTTGAGTCGGAACTACTGTCATGCGAACCCCGGAAAGTCCGGGATGGTAAAAATACAAGAAATAGATTTGACCCTGGTCAGGATTACTTGAAATCACCGAAATCAAAGGAGAGGTTCCGGCGACGGATAATCGCAAGTTTGCCTTACCGACCGCCATCTCGGGTTTCCGGTGAAGCATTCCGGTTTTTAACGGTCAAGGTAGTCTCCCGTCCGGATCGAAAACAAGTACATTATGTTACCAGAACGCGCATAGGTTGTTATTAGTATGCTTTTTTACCTACAGCCATATTGCACAACACGAGCATGCCAATTTGACAAACAACGGCTACCTTCGTTTACAATTACTTATACTTTTATGTACGGATTTTTTTTTTTTTTTATGACGGTTATCAGCACAAAGCATTGGTATTTACATTATTGTAAGGAATAACGTGGCGTCATTAGGAACATTCTAGAAATTTACCTCGTCCTCTCGCCGCCGTTCTTATACCCATTCCAATGTCACTGTTAAACCGATGTCTCATTTATCCATTACGGTTTTTAATATACACTCGAATGATTTTAATTGATTCCCATTGCCACATGGCATATTATATTGTAAATTATATCCATATTAACGTCGACTTAACCTTTATATACGTGTAGGTACCATGGAATAGGATTGTGCCAACAATTTATGAGGGGGTTTACTTTTATAAATGTATTATAATTACATACAAATACTAACATAAAAAAAAGTCCAATCAGAGGACAATTATTGGTATAATTTAGAATGATTTGTCTAATAATTTTCTAATACTCGGGGGCTAAGGCTAATTTTAAGTTCTGAAATATTACTCTTGTCAATTCCAACATTAGGATTATAGATGATGGAAAGTCGTAAAATTGCCTATTAGTGGCTAATGAGATGTTGTCACGATGAGCCAAAGAGTAAATGAGATGGAATAGCAAAAAAAAAATTGAACGGAGGCGATGGTGTTATAAAAGTAATTTTGACGAGGTATGATTTTTAAACCGTAAAATAGTCGATAGGTATGGGAAATAGGAGCGTGTTTAATATCGGAAATAGATGCGCTTTAATAAGTTTTCTCTTTCAAATAAAATTTAAATTATAGAAACAAAACCACTTAATGAGGCGTGTTTTTAAGCAAAAAATGAGGCTGCGAGAGGGCCCGTTAAATAACAAATACAATAATAAGGAACTTGATATTTTTCAATTATGTTGCTTTTAGTAAGTAATTCAATTATTGAAAAAATCTGCTCAAAATTTGGTAAACTAAAAAGTTTGAAGTTTGTGTAACAGTCAAAAAAAGTAAAACATTTCGGAAAAAACATAATTTAAAAACTTTAATTTACCTTAAAAATATTTTTATATATAATGACTAATGAGTGATATTTTGTGGAACGCTTGTTGCCTTAACCCCATCTCTTAATTATGCAAAAACAAATTTAGGATATGAAATCAATTTGATTTGAAACGCCCACATTTCTCAAACCTCATGACTGAGCATACACCCAGTATATTAATAAGTAATAATTACATATTTAATTACGCTGTTGTATTGATTACTTAGGGGTATGGTCTAGGTGT